AAAAATGGTGATATTGTGATATTTACTTCATTAAATGGCATAAAGAGCAGACACACCCAGTGACAAGCAGGTATTATAACTCCTGACCAGCCAGATGGTTAACAAAAACAGATTTTATTCAAATTAGTACTGATAGTGGGCATGGCTAGTAGTTACTTTGCATCTGCTAAGGAGTTACAAATACATGATACTTAAGCAAAATTTATCACTTGTCTCTTAAACAATATTTTTGCTAAATTTCTACTTAAATTATAGGTACTTGCTCAGCTACTTTGAGTAGTAGAAAGGTAACATAAATATAATACCTTCATAGAACTTTTGTAAAAAAATCTTGATCCTCGCTTCAGAACAGTAAAGAGGCTGTAATTACCCTTTTTAGCACACACATCGTCGATTAAAATATTAGGCCATGCCCATTTTCAGAAAAATTATAATTATAAGAGAAACAGATGTTATTTGAAAGAATAATGAATACTGCTTAGTTAATACTCTTTAGTACTCTTGATATCGATATCACTACCAAAAGGATTTCTTAGAGGACTTCAATTTTTTGAGTTGCAGACCCTAGTTATGAACATTTTTAAAAATTAGTTTGAAAATGTTTTATGTACTACTGACTCTCACTCAGCTTCTTTTCTCTTTTCTAATGTGAACTTGACTTGAAAAGTGACAGTTCAGACTCAGATGTATCATTCGACTTTCGTTATATAATTTGGTAGGTATTTCCTAATTTAATGTATCGTTTAAAATGCCAGAAGTCACTGACCAGACTCAGTTTTTATCATATCGTTTGGTAGTGAAATATTCCATGTACTACTGAATTCTCAGAATTTGTTTCTTCTTATCTCCTTTTGTCTCTTCTTTCTTCTCTTAAAGCAAACGGTGAGGCAGTGAAAGATGACAGATGTGTCAGTGGGAGCATGGAGATTGTGTGGCAATAACACGGAGATTGTGTGGCCATGAGAGCTGGGAGATACTGAGGTAGTGAGAGCAGGGAGATGGTTTGGCAACAAAAGAAGGCAAATGGTGTGGCATTGAGAGCAGGGAGATAGTGAGGCTGTGTCATCCGGAAGATGGTGTGGCAATGAGAGCATGGAGATACTTTACAATGAGAGCAGGGAAATGGTATGGCATTGAAAGCAGTGACTTAGTGTTGCTGTGAGAGCAGAGAGATTGAGGCATTGAAAGCAGAAAGTTGGTGTGGCAGTGAGAGAAGGGAGATGGTGTGGCAGTGAGAGCACGGAGATTGTGTGGCATTGAGAGCAGGAAGATTGTGTGGCAGTAAAAGCAGGGAGTTGGTGTGGCAGTGAGAGCAGAAAGATGGTTAGGAGTGACACTAGGGAGATTGTGTGACATTAAAAACAGGAAGTTGGTGTCGCAGTGACAGCAAAGAAATGGTGAGGCAGCGGAGCGGAGAGGTGGTGTGGCCACGAGGGCAGTGTTGTGGTATGGCAGTGAGAGTAGGAAGAATCTGAGGCAGTGAGATCAGGATAATGGTGTGGCGGTTAAAGTAGTGAGATGATGTGTCCAAGACAGCAGGGAGATGGTGTGGCTAAAACGTGTATTTCAATGTTGTGGGACTGTAACAAATGAACAAAAAAGTACTTCCTATCAAAGGAACGAGGATAAAGAAGTGCTAGTGTACAAATCAAGTAGTATATTAAATGTTTAAAAAATGTTACATGCCTTTTTAGCAAAACTAGAAACAATTTACCCCTTCAATTAACGGCGTGCATGTTTTGAATCATACAAAGTAGCATAGGTGAAAGAACACAATATCATTTATACAAATAAATGAGCCATGGAGCAAAAAAAATTTATCTTTAAAATCAATCCATATATTGTTTGAATAATTGCACAATATTGATGGTTGTTAGCCATGTTAGAAAAGTACTAAAACTTTTTGTCATTCCTATATTTTTGCTGCAAAATTTCAAAAGGGATTGGATAAAGTGCCTAACCACTTACTGTTCACAAATACATTGTTAACTCTTTCATGCATGCGGATGAGTTCACTCGTTCGCCCACAACCTTAATTAATGCACGGTGTCGAGTTAACTCGGCGGGACAAGTTGCTATTACTACCGCTGCTTGTGGCATCTGTAACTAATGGAGACAAGTGAAGAATAACTTAGAAATGGCGAAGAGGCTTCCTTCTGATCCTGACTTCTGGCTGAACTTGCTTGACAACCTACCCAGTGATGGAAGCGACGACGATTTTGATGGGTATGTCACGGACTCTGATGACCAAGATGACCAGCAAGTGCAGGATGCTTTTACAGGAACAGACGCTTTTACAGATGGTAATTAAAAACAAACATTTTATATAATAACTATCATATTATATAGCTTTCCCCAGTTCTTTTGACAATGATGAGCTAGCAAACTTAAGCAGCAATACAGGTTTATTATAGCATCAAAATGCACAGTATATAAAACGACATAATACAACATAAATAACAAAACTAGGCATTCCTAAATAAATAAAAAATAATGCAACTTGTATTATATATTCCAACACAATAAAATAAAGACCATTATGTGATACATTTAAAATGAACATGCATTTTAACAAGCAGGCTTTCATTAAATTTAGAAACCAATAGTAGTGCCTCTTCCACTGCTACAGGAAAACATCCAACTTGCACGTTCTCTGCTTCTTGCACCATAATTTATTCCATGCTTGGAGCAATAAGTAAATAAAATCAAACCTACACAAATAGCACATACAACATTTTGTAGCTCACTCCTTGAATCTAGCAGCTGGTTCCTCCTTTACTGCTCCAAGTTCTACAGCAATGTCTCAAAGTAAAAAATCACACATACACAAATAGCATTTACAAAATTTTGTAGCTCACTCCTTAACTTTAGTAGCTGCTTCCTTCTACACTCCTAGCTGTACAGGAATTCCTACAAGTAAATAAAATTAAACATACACAAACATCACTTACAAAATTTTGTAGCTCACTCCTTGAATTAAGCAGCTGCTTCCTCCACCACTCCTAGGTCTACAGGAATTCCTATAAGTAAATCAAACATACACAAATAGCATTTGTAGCTCACTCTTTGACTCCAGCAGCCGCTTCCTTCTACACTCCTAGCTATACAGGAATTCCTGCAAGTAAATACAATCAAACACACAAATGGCACTTAAAAAATTTTTTAGCTCACTCCTTGACTCCAGCCGTTCCCTTTCCAAGTCATAGTAGTCATACACCAGCATCCATGTGTAAGTACATTGAAGGAAATTAAATAATTCAACAAAAATGATACTTGTAGCTCACTTAAACAGTGCATCAGGTGTTTTCTCATCAACCACAACTATATGTAGTACTGCAAGTGGTACAGCATCAGCTACAAGTAGATAAAGTTGAGGCAGATAAAATTATAACAGTACAATTTTTTAGCTCCCTCATTTACTGCTACAGCTGGCATCACACCAGGGATGATAACTGGTCAGGCATTACTTTAATGCCCTGTTTGACAATAATATCAAAGATCTGATATTTAGTGAGACAAGCAGGTCCACAGACGAGAAGACAAAGGCTACAAAGCATGCCATGGGGAAGAAGTGGAGGAGCTGTCCAATGAAGAGAGTGGCGGTAGGCTGTCTACTAGCTATCCTCATCATCATTGGAGTAGTTGGATACACTACAAATAGGTAAACACTACAAAATATATTTGTTGTGAAGGAACAACTATAGTGAGGATTGTAACTGATGTACATTTTTTTTATGCACAGATCATATTGCAGCACAAAGTGGCCCTTCAACACCAACATTTTCAGTGATATAATGTCATGGAGACGGTTTGAGCTCATCATGTCATTCATTCATCTCAATGGCAGTGAGAGAATGCCACCAAGGGGAAATCCCGGCTATGACCAGCTTTACAAGATCCGCCCCCTTTTTGATATGATTGTCAAGGCCATTTAATGGGTTTATACTCCCAGGCAGCACCTCTCTGTTGATGAGAGCATTTGTAGTAGATGCCATGTGCTTATGTGCATGCGCATCAGAGACACATGTTCATGAATTTTGATTGTCCTTTAGTCTTCTCTATCTCTCTATTCTCTATCCCTCTTGATCTTTATCTGTGATAACATTTTAATTATAAAATATATTTGCTGAGATGTTCACTCTCAACATTGGTAACCCGAACATTCTTTACTTCAGTTATGTCACGCCAAGGCTCTCCTTCACCAGTTTCAGACCCCACCTTGGCGACCGTCTCTCTGAAGCTACCTACGTTTTGGCCAGCGGATCCTGGACTATGGCTCGCGCAGTTCGACGCACAGTTCTGTACTAAACATATTACTTCACAGGCGACCAAGTTGGAATACGTTATAGCTACCTTGGATCCCCAGTATGCTGCCGAAGTATGAGACCTCATTCTCAAGCCTTTAGATGCCAACCCTTATGATAGACTTAAAGATGAAGGTGCACTATAAAACTATTCACGCAACGTCATGAAATCACTTCCGTTGATCACAGTATAAAAGGAGGTGCCATGGGCACAATATGGCGGCCACATTTTAAAATAACAAAATGGCTCCCGCTCTGGCACTGTTCTTATCATAGCTAAATCAGTAGCAAAACGCATTATAAAAACATTAAAATTTGTAAAGGCGAGAGAGTCAACCTACAAGCACACCTAGAAAGCATAGCAAAAAGAGAAATGGTATAATTGACTTGAAGTAATAATTTTTTTACATTATTATCAAATATTTATATTGTATATTCTGAAAATCTGTCAACAGCCTAACAAACATTGTCAATAATGCTGTCAGGCAGGTTATAAGTGATAGTGGCAAAGGAATAGACCTCATTGATAAAATACCAGCCCAGGAACTGCCACCACTGGAACCAGAAGGCCTTGCTGACTACCAATTATCAGCCACCCTCATCAAGTAGAAGTGGTAACAGCAAAAGACCCCCACTTGGTCCTCAATCAGATCCTAGTACTGGTAGCAGTTGTAACATTCAACGATCCACTGGAAGTAGTAAATACAAAAATTATATTATTCTAAATTATTAAGCATATACAATAACAGAGTTGAATGGATATGGGGATGGTGAGAAGCTTCCTGTAGTTGTGTACATCTTCCCAACTGTACCAAGTAATGCCGATCAAAATATGGCAGTACTGTGATGGTAATATACCAGCACAAGTATATGCTAGTATGAGCCTAAAAAATATTAATGCCAATTAATGTATGATTACTTTACATTACACATTATACTTACTTCTGTATCTACTACATAATAAACTTGAGTTACGATTACAGGACTCAACTATCATTGAATTGAAATTCAGCACAATCACATGACTTATACTATAATAATAATAGTAATAATATAAATGAATATAATTTTGATAATTATTATAATAAATAATAACAATAATAATAAATAATACCTGATTGCAATTGATCACCCTTCGGTCAACCATACAACACTATCACCAACATTTGCGTCCCAATAGCCGATCTTCTATCTATGCACAAAATGGCTGCTCTTTGTCCCCATCACCCATACCTTATTTTATATATTAACACTAATTTCAAACACATTATAAGTACCTGAAGTATTGAGCATAACTAGTATCATGTGATAGAGCCTCTAAATGATCCTCTTCCCCGACTAAATCAGCAAATAAATGAGACAACATTTCCAGCGCCTTCTTTTAGTGCCTAAAGACCCCTTAACTCGATTAAGCCTAACTTGAACTGGTCCTTGTCTTCTTTGAGAGTAAAATGTAACTCAATTTGGTACCAAAACCCCTCTTTGCCTCCGTTTTTCCTTGAAGAAGCAACATCATCTAGAGCAGACATTTTTATGCATGAAAAAAACGGAAGCCACCATGCCCAGGGCACCGCCTTTTATACCGCACCTTCTCGTTTCAGGAGAAATTAATCAAGAGGACTACTGCCTCTGAACAACGCCGTCTTCTTTTACGCATTAAAGCGGAGGATTTAGGAGACAGGACACTCTCTCAACTTGTACGACATATGCAACAGTTGCTGGGTGGCAAAACTGCTACTTTTGATCAGTCTTTTCTTCGCCAGTTATTCCTCCAGTGCTTGCCTCCAAACGTACGTATGGTTCTCGCCTCTACTAAGGATGATGAGGATCTTGAGTCTCTGGTTTCTTTGGCTGACAAAGTGGTGGAAGTAGCCTCACCTGCTGTTAATGAAGTACAAACCACAGAACTCTCCACAGAGGTAAAACAGCTACGTAGTGATATTGCTACTCTCAAAAAGCTTGTGACGTCCCTCTCTGATACAAGGCACCCTCGTTCTTTTAGACGCCGTGCTCCCAGCCCAGCTTCACCTGATAGACCCACTACCTTATGCTGGTACCACGCCCAATTTGCTGAGAAGGCCACAAAGTGCACCAAACCTTGCTCTTGGTCTCAGGAAAATGTACAGGCCAATCGTTTATGGCGACTGGCGCCTTCGGCCAAAGTACTAGTGCCTCTTTTTTGTGTTGGAAAGATTTTCTCATCTCAGGTACTTGGTGGATATGGGAGCTGAGGTTAGTACTATTCCTCCTACTAAACTCAACAGACAGAGGACCAGCTAGTTTATCCCTTCAAGCAGCTAATGGTAGTCAAATTTCTACTTATGGGACCCATTCACTAACTCTTAATTTAGGACTTCGTCATCTATTTCAATGGATATTTATTATAGCAGACGTTAAGCATCCCATTTTAGGTGTGGACTTCCTCCAACACCATGGTTTACTCATCAATGTTTGTAGTAAAAATCTCATACATGCTAATACAACCCTAAAGACTAATATGATATACACACACCAAAATACACACAGTCTCACTACTCTTTACCCTCTACTTTCTTGTAATCCTTTTTACTCTCTCCTTTTAGGGTACCCAGAATTACTACAACCGAAGAATACTCTAGCTCTGGTGAAACATAATGTCGTACATCGAATCAAAACTACAGGCCCTCCTACTTCTGCACGTACTCGGCGTTTAGCGCCTGATTGTTTAAAGATAGCCGGTGCTGAATTTGAACACATGCTAGAGCTTGGAATTATACAGCCCTCCTCAAGCTGCTGGTCTTCCGCCTTACACTTAGTTCCGAAACCCACACAAGGTGATTGGAGACCATGTGGAGATTACCGTCAACTCAACCGTGTCACTATTCAGGACAAATATCCTATCCCTCATTCAGGATTTCAGCTCCACACTTCATGGCTCCACTATTTTCTCCAAACTAGATCAGAAAAGAGCAAACCATCAGATCCCTCTACATCCAGCTTATGTTCCCAAGACTGCTATAACGACTCCATTCGGTTTATTTGAGTTCTTACGGATGCCCTTTGGTTTAAGGAATGCAGCACAGACGTTTTAGTGTTAAATGGATCAGGTCTTACGGGGACTTCATTTTGCATATGCTTATATTGATGATGTATTAAATTGCCAGTAGCAGTGAAGAAGAACATCATCAACATCTCAAGCAAATATTTGATCGTTTCAAGGAATATGGAGTTATTGTTAATCCTAGTAAGTGTCAGTTAGG